GCCAAACTCCTTGATATTCCATTAACTTTCTCTCGAACAATTAGTGAATTAACCCTTAAGCAACAACCCAAAATATCTCTAAGTTGGATTTAGGAGCTAAGAGATCATTAAGTTCTATGGAATTTATCAAAGCCTCATAGATCGCGGTAACCTATCTCTAGCGTTCGCTCAATCTATGGTTTTATTACCTTAGACAAATCAGGTTTCATCTCTTGATCTTAACCCAATCCATGATATCATTCAACTCTCGGATCCTTAAGAATTGAAAGCATTACACACAATAATAAAACTTAGAATTAATGCTCAATAAGAATTAACAACAATAAAGTCAACACATATTCATAAATTGGGCTACATCTTTAGCCCAGAAAAGGGATTTAGTTCATAATTGCAGTAATAAAAACAACCATTGTATTCAATAACATGAGTTCAAAAAAGAAAAATAGAAAAACTTCTCTAATTGGCAAACGCGAACTGCAAGAATTCCAGTCTCCAAAAATAGTAGCTGTCCTTTCTTCTTTTCGCCCCCCCCCCCCCCCCCCCCCCCCCCCCCCCCCCCCCCGGGGCCCCATCTAAAACTGATTAAAGACTCTTATTTATAGTGCTAGGGTTTGGAGGTTACTTAGGAAAGAATTAAATGCCTTCACCCATTTAGATTCAGACTAGGAGAATGTAATAGCCCAAACAGGCTCGTGACCCATCGCTATGACGAGCGTTCTTTCTGTCCCACGAGTCCGTGATATTCAGAATTTGGTAAATTCATCAAACTTTGTATCTCTCTGAATAAGCTTTCCAACACCACAAAAATTGTCGAATTCTGATTTCTACAGCTTAAGCTATGATCGAAACATCGAAGCATGCTCATCTTGAAGGATTTCCAGATTTTACGTTGTATCTTCGACATGTCACAACTTTCTCGTTTCAACTCCAATTCTTGCTCGACATCATTCTTTTTCCTTCAAATATCAGTTTGAACCTGAAAATGCTCAAAATACACCCGTGATCCCGTAAAAGGTATTTATGAAATAATTAATTCAAATTCCACAATTTAAACACATTTTTCCATAAATAATCCAATTAAATCACATACAAAATATACACTTTCAAGCTCTTATCACAACCCCCAACTAGCTTTTTGCTAGTCTCTAGCAAACTAAGCGATAAAGTAAGTCTCTAAGCTTAAAAATAAAACAACCAATTAAAACCTATATCTAAACTATCTTAAATCACTTTCGTAGATTGACACGATTGCATTTAGCATATGCAACAAACCTTTAAACCCTTAGGCGGCCCTAGTTGGACGAGTTGTCGTCTCGTGAAGGTTTCCAGCGATGATACCCTCAAACATCCACACTAAACTTAACCTAAACTCCAAAAATAAAAATACACATAAAAAGAACAAAAACTAAAAAAATTCTTGGATCAGTTCATAAAAGTGTCTCAAAAATAGCATATACACAAAACAAATAGAATAATTAAGAATTGCCTAAACTCACAAACAATGCAAATGTCAATTCCATTTTCATTATCAACCCTAAAACATCCATACAACCATAAACCATTAGTCTACAAACCCGGATGGTTTTATGAATAACATTCATGAATAAAATTTTGATCTCAGTATTCGGGTTATGACTTATACGTGAATCATGGAATCAAACTCCATAGGCTCACTTTTCAAATCATTCTCCACTAATGTAGAATTTCACATTACCTTGGATCAATAGGTCTTTGTAAAGGTTGTAACATTAGGCTAGGGTATGAGTTCATGAAGGAACAAAAAGGGAAATTAACAAAAATCAAATTAAGAGACTTAATTTTCATTCATTCTTATTACTGTCATACAAAAACACTTTCCTTTTTCACTTAATAGCTTCCCAACGTTTATCGAGCTTTTTCTTTTCGATAGTAATATAAACCCATTTGCATAATTCCAAATCTTCACAATGCTTTTCAATGCCCACTTTTCTTTTCTTTCTCTTTTTTTTTTTTATTATTTTTTTCATATTTTTTTTCTTCATTTTTTTTTACAATAATAATAAGAAGAAAGTAGAAAACACACACACAGCCCCACAGATCTTACAAGCACTCCACAACCCCCAACCAATTTCTTCACATAAACCTGGGTTGTGGCAAAACTACACTTCCTCACCAATACTCATACTAAGCTTGAATAATAATTAAGTCTCTTAAGGATAAACTGGGTAGGATTGAATTTTAGGCTCATAATCAGGGTAGGGTAAAAATTAAATTCAAAGAAAGAAAAACAAGGCTGAATTGTGTTTAAAAGGCTCAAAAAGTTAACTAGCGATAATAATAAAAAAAGTCAGCTTGAAAGACTCAATCGGTCCAAAAACAACCTAAATCATTTCCTAAGTGATGTGAACTCTAGGATTTCGCCTTGAGTGGTTCTCAAATGAGTTCTAGAGTTTGTTGAGATCACAAAAATATTCATGGAAAATTCACACATAAAACGTCTAAACTTAACCACTTCCAATCCACAAATCGCTAGGGTCTCAAACTAAATGTCATTAACATTTACAATCATTCGTAATTAAAGGCAAAAATTAATATCCTCCATTTGTTACATGTTATAGCAATCACATTCCTATTATAGACATATAAATTAATCCAACAATAGAACCAAAATTCAAAACAGAACAGAAAAATAAAAATAAAAATTCACATAAATCCATGAATTCGAAGTCTTTGGGAAGAAACTTCCCTTACCCCTAACCTAAAATCTACATTGTCCCCAATATACAAATATAAACAAAAACAGAGAAAAAGAAAAGTTACCCCCCCCCCCCCCCCCCCTCCCCCTTTTGCAATAGTGAAGTACGAATACGCATGACAATTCGATCACCAACTCGTTTTATTACATTGTTGTCTTTTAATTCTATCAAAACAAAGAAACTTATAGTGCACCTCATCGGAAACACACATCACGTGTCAAATTTATGAATTTAGAGAAACAACCACAACATCAAAATTATTTACACAAAATAGAAAAAAAAAATTAAACATACTTGAAAATTAGCACTTGCAAAAATAACACACTAATCAATAAAATAAGAATAAAAAGCTTGGGTTGCCTCCCAAAAGCACTTGGTTAAAGTTGTAAGCTTTACTTTTCATTCTCTTCAATCTAGATCATCTAGGAGAATCCAAGCCCTCATATCCTTAATTTCACCATTCACATAGGGCTTTAATTGTTGTTCATCTACCATCTCAAAATCAACCTCCATAGTCCTAGAGTTGACTAAACAATTCTCTAGGGGTGAACTAGGGTAGTTTTCTTCTAATTTTTTATTCACTTGTTATCAAGGACACTAATCTCAAAGTATGTGTCTAAGTCGGATGGACGCTTCTTAACATCAAAGACATTAAACTCTACTTGTTCATCTTCTACCCTTAAGATTAGTTTCCCTTGATGAACATTTATCAATGCTTTACCCATGGCTAGGAAAGGTCATCCTAGGATTAAAGGCATTTCTCGATCTTCCTCTATGTCTACCACTATGAAATTTATTGAGAAAATCAGTTTGTCTACCTTAATCAAGACATCTTCTACCACCCCCCTAGGATATGTTATTGATCGATCAGCTAATTGGAGAGACATGATGGTTGGCTTCACTTCTCCTAATCCAAGTTTCCTGTAAATGGAAAACGGCATTAAATTTATACTTGCCCCTAAATCATATAAAACCTTATTAAAACAACAACTACCAATAATACAAGGGATAGTAAAACTCCTTCGATCTCATAGTTTAGGTGGTAGTTTCTTTTGAATCAGCGTGCTTAACATAACTTTTTCATGTTCCTCAAATTTTCTATTGTGCGTGAGGATCTCCTTCAAAAACTTTGCATATTTTGGCATCTGTTCTAGCATATCAACAAAAAGGATATTAATATGTAAACTTCAAAACATATCAATAAACTTACCAAATTGCTTGTCAAGCTTCTAATTCTTCAAACAATGTGGGTACGGAAGGTTTACATGGCTCAAAGAAAGTTTCTCCTCAGATTCACGCTCGTTACATCCACAAGACTCATCGCCGCGGCGATGAGTTGAAAATTCTGACGATTCGGGAGTTGCTTCACGATTGCCATGGCCATAAGTTTCATCACTACAACAATTGTCCTTCATGCCGACAAGCTTCTCCAAATTTTCATGCTTACTATGGCGATAAATTTCCTCACCACGGCGATTGTTCTTCTGCTCTTCCTTCAAATCCTTCTCTTGTTCTTGCTTCTATTTTTCACCCTCTGAATTCTCCAAAATTCTTCCACTCCTCAAAGTGATTGCATGCGCTTATTCCTTGGGATTCTTCTCTGTATCACTCGGCAAAACTCCTTGAACTCTTCCCGCTAATATGTTATGAATTTGCCCAATTTGAGTCTCACGGGCAAGGATTTCAGTCTTCTTAAACCTCTTGCTTATCTCTTCAATGAACTTGGTAAGCACATTCTCTAAGTTAGATTTTGGCTTTTGAGTTTGAAAAACAGGAGGTTGTTTTTTCTCATTATTATTGCTCCATGAGAAGTTCGGATGTTTCTGCCATGATGGATTATAAGTATTTGAGTACAGATTTCCTTGCCCTCTTTGGAAGTTATTCACATAATTTACTTGTTCAAGTGAGGCGAATGGACTTCCTTCTTGAAAATTTCTTGAGGAGTGATTACCTACACAAAATTCACAAGTTAGAAGAGAATAATCAATTACATTTATCTTTAAAACAATGCCCAATTGCTTTTGAATGGCTAAAAGTTGAGCAACCAATGTGGTGTAACCGTCAACTTTGTGCACTCCCGTTGATTTCCTTATTGAAGTTCTCTCTGAACTCTTCATATAGTTATTATTTTCCATCACTTCAATCAAATTGTATGCTTCCTTTGGTGTTTTATTGTTCAAGGCTCCTCCACTTGCAGCATCTATCATGGCTTGAATAATTGGCAACAACCATTGGTAGAATGTTTGCACTTGTGACCAGATTGGTAAACCATGGTGAGGGCACCTTCGTAAGAGATCCTTATACCTTTCCCATGCTTCATATAATGACTCCAAGTCTTGTTGGTAAAAATTGGTAATCTCACTTCTCAGCTTGGCAGGTGGAAAATATTTAGTGAGGAACGCTTAAACTAACTCGTTCCATGTCGTGATGCTCCCAGATGGCAAAGAAATCAACCAAGCCTTAGCTTTATCCCAAAGAGAAAATGGGAAAAGCCGCAGCCTAATTGCATCATCGAATACTCCATTATGCTTGAATGTGTCGCATAACTCCAGAAAGTTGGCGATATGCAGGTTGTGATCATCATTAGGTAACCCAACGAATTGGACCAACTGTTGAATCATTTGAATAATTGCTAGCTTGATCTCAAAATTATTCGCTTGAACTGGTGGTCTCCTAATGTTAGAATAGCACCCATCAACAGTAGGACACTAGGACTAGAGTAGTCCTTCAATGCTCTTCGACCCACTACTGCTCCACCCATTGCATTTCCTCCTATGGTATCCTCATTCTCATTCTCTTGATTTTCCACATTGGGATTTACAATTCCTATGTTAGCCATTGATTTTTCAAACTTAGCTTGCCTCTTTTCTTTCCTCAATTGTTTAGCTGTTCTCTCGATCTCAAAATCTAGTGGATTAAGATCACCACCACCTTTTGAACGTAAGCTCTCTAAGATCTAGCTAAAAGAAACAAACAAAACAAAAATAAAAATTAATTTCTAAGCAAAAATAAAACACATCAAATTAGCAACTAAATATTTTGTATCGATATTGGTAAAACAACATAGTTCCCTGACAACGGCGCCAAAAACTTGACAGGCTATATGCAAGTGTAAGAAATCGCGCAAGTAATAAAGCTCGACCAAACGAGTGTCAATTCCCAAGAGAACTACCTACCAAGTACCAAACTAGTCTATTTTGTTGCTATTTGATGAAACATAATTTTAAGAATGAATTTAATGAAAAATAAAACAAACTAAAAACTAAACAAAAGCAGAATTTTATAATACTTTGGTAAACATATCAATATGACTAAACCTAGGGCACATATTTCACACCAATTTAATCATATGCATTAACAATTATGCTAACCTAATTAAGCTTATTCTAAAGGCCAAACTCCCTGATATTCCACTAACTTTCTCTCGAACAATTAGCGAATTAACCCTTAAGCAACAACCCAAAATATCTCTGTAATAACTACTTTCTACTAGTATACTTTAGAACATATACAATGAAAAACATACATACTTAGCATATGAAAAATAGTTGGGCCCAAATTTTTCTTTACTTATAAAATATAATTCTTTACATATATCAAAATAACATCTACAAAAACTTTAGCAACGGTAGATAGTGATGCCATTTCTCTCTGCTTTTCGATGTCCATCTGACTGCTTCTCACCTATTTCCTGCAAATCATAGAAAAACAATGGGGTGAACACAAAAATGCTCAGTAAGTAAATCCTATTCTCTTCTATCCCCGCAACTTCCTCTTTGGTTCTTTCCTTACTTATTTCTTTTCTTCTTCATTCTTTCTTAGTTCTTTCTCTTTTCTTTCTCTGTTTCTAATTCTCACGGCTCTTTTTTTCTTTCTAATTCTTACTGTTCTTTCTTTCTCTCTATTCTTTCTTTCTAATTCTTTCTTTCCATTCTTTCCAACCATGAGGGAAATTATGGTAATATGCATGAATGAAATGCATATGCAATAACGCATAGAAATGCATTTTCTTTCTTCTTTTCCATTTCTTTTCTTGCTTGCTCAAGCTCCTCTTTTCTTTCTTGTTTTTCTTTTCTTTTATTTTCTTTGCTTGTTCAAGCTTTCTCATTCTTTCTTATTCTTATTCTTTCTTATTCTTTCTTTCTTTTCTTTGCCGATTGGACTCGGTTGATGCATGAATTCAGAACCCTAGCCGTGTGAGTGAGTACAATCCTCATCTACATGCACTCTTGCGAACCGTACAAATTCTTTCTTTCTTCTTAGGCCACTCATTTAAGGTGGCGTGCATGTAGGAATTCTTCTTGGTACAACCCTCATCCACATACACTCTTACGGGTCGTACAAATTCTTCTTCTTTTTATGCCACTCAATTAATGTGGCGTGTATTTGGGAATTTCTTCTTCTTAGCACTCACGGGTTCCCCATCGCAACAACCTATTCTTTTCTCTTCTTTAACAGTTTTTCTTTTTTTAATTCTTTAGTGCTTTTCTTTCTTTTTCTTTATTCTTATGAATTCTTTATTCTTTCTTTAGGTTCTCATACATATGTAATTATATGCATATGGATGGCTCATGCTTATGTTTCTTCCTTAAGTGCAATTATGCAATGCAATTTTGCTATGTTGCACAAAAATAAGTTTCTCTACTTATGCATAAGCTTCTCTTAGGCATTTCATCAAACATCATGCATGCATACTTCAAGTCTACTTTAACTATACTTCTCCTTCTTTCTTACACCATCCATAATGAGAGTAAAACTCCCTTGAATCATCTCAAATCTTAGCCAAGAAAATACACTTCATAAATGCTCTTAAACTCCCTCTAAATTCAACCCAACTTCTATCAACTCAGCCAACCCTTCTCATGAAGAAAACTCATTCATGGATCATCATCAAACTCAATAACAAGTTTCATACACAAATCTCAAGCATATGGATTTCATATAATATTCACATAAAACAATCCTTATGCTTTACTTGCTCAAACAAGGGGTTAAGGTTGGATTTGCTTACCTTATGCTTGAAGAATTGCAAAAAAGTTCTCTATCCTTGTTGGACTTGTTCTTTCTCTTAAACCCTAAGTATAAACTTAATAAGAATTCAACATTAACACAACTTAATCTTATGTCTAGAACAAGAATCCTTACCTCTTGATGCTTAGGATCAAATCCTTATAAGAATCCAACTAAAAGCCCTCAATTTCCTTTAGCAAATGGATGAAGAGATGAGAGAAATGGAGAGGGAAGTTGGCGTGAGAGGGAGTAGAGAATGATAGAGTCTTTGTAAATAAACCCTTAATATCTCATATTATAGGCATACTTTCCCATTTTGCCCTTACACTTTATTGGAAATTTCATCTTTGTCCCTTAGTCATTTACACTAATGCCTTTACTTTTATTACATTCTCCATCAATTTTCCTTATTTTTCACTCCCCACATTTTCAACTAATTAGGGGTGGAATGGTCATTTTGCCCCTAAGGAAGATTTCTCTAGAATTTTCTCACGGTTCTTCGCCTCGGCGAGAAAATCCAGAGAGTTCTTCACCTTAGCGAAGTTCTGACACCAATTTGGGGAAAAGTTCATTACCACAGCAAAGTTTGCAAATGTCGATTTTTCAATCTTTTTCTTGAAATAAGCAAAACTAAGGGCATAAAAGCAACAATAACACATATCCATTTAACTAAGGCCAACATACAACATTTAAAAAACAAATAAACTTGAGTAAACGATGTACCTCAAAGTGGGCGTTACAATCTCTAAGTTGGATTTAGGGAGCTAAGAGATTATTAAGTTCTATAGAATTTACCAGAGCATCATAGATCGCAGTAACCTATCTCTAGCGTTCGCTCAATCTATGGTTTTATTACCTTAGACAGGTTTCATCTTTCGATCTCAACCTAACCCATGATATCATTCAACTCTCGGATCCTTAAGAATTGAAAGCATTACACACAATAATAAAACTTAGAATTAATGCTCAATAAGAATTAACAAAAATAAAGTCAACACATATTCATAAATTGGGCTACATCTTTAGCCCTAGAAAATGGATTTAGTTCATAATTGCAATAATAAAAACAACCATTGTATTCAATAACATGAGTTCAAGAAAGAAAAATAGAAAAACTTCTCTAATTGGCGAACAAGAACTGCAAGAATTCTAATCTCCAAAAATAGTAGTTGTCCTTTCTCTTTCTCTTCTCCCCCTAAAACTGATTAAAGACTCTTATTTATAGTGCTAGGGTTTGGAGGTTACTTAGGAAATAATTAAATGCCTTCACCCATTCAGATTCAGACTAGGAGAATGTAATAGCCCAAACAAGCCCATGACCCATCGCTGCGGCGAGCTTTCTTTCTGTCCTATGAGTCTGTGATATTTAGAATTTGGTAAATTCATCAACTTAAATTTTGTATCTCTCTGAATAAGCTTTCCAACACCATAAAAATCGTCGAATTCTAATTTCTACAGCTCAAATTATGATCGAAACATCGAAGCATATTCATCTTGAAGGATTTCTAGATTTTACTTTGTATCTTTGACGCGTCACAACTTTCTCGTTTCAACTCCAATTCTTGCATCGTTTGTTCCCACTTGTCATGAATTCCATCGACATCATCTTTTTCCTTCAAATATCGGTTTAAACTTGAAAATACTCAAAATACACCCGTGATCCCGTAAAATGTATTTATGAAATAATCAATTCAAATTCCATAATTTAAACACATTTTTCCATAAATAATCCAATTAAATCACTAACAAAATATATACTTTCAAGCTCTTATCATCTATCATCCACAACCAGTTAAACTGCCCCGATGGATTTAAGTTGGTGTGCTCAAACAACATACTCTTAAGGTTGTAGAATCTGAAGGTAGCTCTACTTCAAATTTGAAAGCTGTTGTTGAGATTTTCACGTCCAAGAATTAACTAGAATTAGAAATGTTTTATTTCAATGTAGTAACAAAATAAGATCAATTGTTCTTATTCAAGTTGTTGGTACGAGCACTAACATGTATAGGAATTTATATTAACTCTGAATTTTTTTCTCTTTTATCTATCTTTACATTGAATNCTTATGCTTGAAGAATTGCACAAAAGTTATCTATCCTTGTTGGACTTGTTCTTCCTCTTAAACCCTAAGCATAAACTTAATAAGAATTCAACATTAACACAACTTAATCTTATGTCTAGAACAAGAATCCTTACCTCTTGATGCTTAGGATCAAATCCTTATAAGAATCCAACTAAAAGCCCTCAATTTCCTTTAGCAAATGGATGAAGAGATGAGAGAAATGGAGAAGGAAGTTGGCGTGAGAGGGAGTAGAGAATGATAGAGTCTTTGTGCTTAAACCCTTAATATCTCATATTATAG